TAAAAAAAAAAAAATTAAAAGAAACCTAATTATGTAACTAAAAACTAACATGAATGTGACAGAAAAATATTGCTGGTCTTAACATCCCTACTGGGTTTTACTATTCTCACCAATGCTGTCAAAATCAGAAAAATCTACTTAGTATACTAATATAAAATAAGAATAAAATAAAAATAAGGCAAGAAGAAACAGATTGGACTGCTTCAGACTAGCTATCTTAGTGCCCAAAATGTAAGTTACTAATGCTCTGAACCTAATTTTAAAATTTTATAACCTCCAAAAGAATCAGTGAGTGCTGTGATAAAAATACATGTCATAAAATATGACCTCAAAACCTCAAAGCTTTTGAAAGGAAAAGTCTTCCAGCCTGTGTAATAGTTTTGAGTTACATATGGTTTTGTATGGTATTTTTCTTATAATAAAGCATGTGATGACAAAAGAAAAATAAAATTTAGATAGCAAAATAGAATGTATGTTATGTATGAACTTATGAACTGCTTACTTTGTGACAACTACTTTTGTAGGTGCTTTATTCAATGAGTAAGACCAGCAAGGTTCTGTAAGCTATGTTGATGTTGTAAGTTGATTATAATAGGAAGTAAAACCACTAATTATTTAGATGTGCCATCATACTTACTTTGCTAGTGCACTAGTGTAAGAGTCATTTTTTTTTACTTTAAAAAATTTTTTTATGTAGTTGTAGATGTACATAATGCCTTTGTTTATTTTTATGTGGTGCTAAGGATCAACCCAGTGTCTTACACATGATAGACAAGTGCTCTGCCATTGAGCTACAACCTCTGTCCTATTTTTGACTTTTTATAAGGAAAAAAATTATATAAAAATTACAATATAATCATCTCCCAAAGGATATATAATCCAAGCAGCAATTATCTACTCCTTGCAAATTGTGTTTTTTCTGTGTCTCTGCCATTTACTTCTTTCCCAGATTTTGAAGTAAATCAATGATTCATTTTTCAAATGTAAATAAATATTTCACTATGTGTCTAATGGATAAGGATATTTAAGGGAGGGGGTTTATATATTAACATTTTTATATTTTATTTTTGTAGAACTGGGCAAAGAAAAAATCAGGTGTGTGTCTATTAAACTCTGGGCCTTAGGCATGCTAAGCATATGCTCTGCCATTTAGAGAATATATTCATAGTCTCAAGAAATGTTTTGAAAGAACTGAGGTTTTCCACAAAACTTGTACTCAGTTAATTATGAGATTTAACATGTGGAAAGTTTGGCATTGATTCATACAGTGAATCAAATAAAAATCACCCACTTGCAGCCTTTACTTTCTAAAAATGAAAGTGTTTCTCATAACAGGTAGTTATATTAACTGGAATGTATAGTAAATTAAAATACAATTTGTTACTTTTTAACAAAACATGTATACCATTTCAGATTTCTAAATTGGTAAATTAATTTGGTATGTTTTATTCTGACCAAATTTTCATGAGCATAAACTGAAAAATTATTCCATAAACCTTACAGGGCCTAGTGATGATAGTTGTCTCACCCCAAACAGTGACAAATGTGAAAATAGAAATTTCATGCAAGTTTAATTGTTCAAAAAAATATTTAAGCTTATGTACTAGTGTTTTTCTTTCTGTATTGTGCCAGAGTTGACAAATGATTGAGTAAAATAGACTTAAAAAAAAAATTAGCAACATATACTTTTTACTTTTGGTCTGCCTGATGGATCACACCTTTCTTACTAACTTGGAGAAATAAATCCATTAAGTTCTATGAATATTTTTGGAAATTCTAGTAATGCCCACTGAAAATTATAATTTTTAAATGAATAGGAATATTCAGTCATTAATACGTAGATATGCATTCATATGATAATATACAAATATTTTCCATAATGAACAGAGCAATAACAGTTGCTTTCATTGAGTAAACTAAGATTTTTATATGCAAACATGACATTTGAAATATCTGCTTATGAAATAGTAGAAATGTTTCAACTCCATTGAGTTTATTTTTTTTTAAATTTTTTTTAGTTGTAGATGGACTCAATACCTTTATTTATTTTTATTTTTATGTGGTACTGAAGATCAAACCTGGTGCCTCCTGGAATCTGAAAATACGACCCTGCTTTGTTACAGACTCCTACAGTTGTCTTCATTTCCTTAATTCTTTTCATATAGAAAGGGAGTTTTCTTTAAGATTAGTTGTCTAAAGAGCAGAAATAGCACAATGTACTTACTATTTAAACATTTTCTCAAAACATAAAGGAAATGCTCATTTGATATTCATTGGCAGATTGCAAGTTAATAGGATTTTTCTCTTTTGCTGAGTTTATGAAGGCTGGCCTTCATCCTCCTGTTTCAACCTGGAATTACAGGCATGCAGTGCTGATACTGAGGCGAAAAGACAGGTTGTCAGCGTAGATAGTAAATGATCACATGAATGATTTTATTAGGTGGTAAAGCAATTTTTAAAATATATAAATGTGATATGAGTTTTAACTACTTTGAAAGTTTTATCATGTAAAACTTACAATCTTGAAGTAACTTTCTGGTAACTGGGGCAGTTGAACAAAGCAACATATTGCTTTGTAAAGAAAGAAGCTAACTCTATTCATGAAAGTCTTTTGAAGCATATATAAACATTTTAGAATATTGTAGAATTTAATTTTTATGATTCTTTGGAATTGGAAAAATTAGTTATTCTAATTCTGTTTTTGTTTTGTTTTGTTTTGTAGTAGTGGGGACTGAACACAGGGCCTTGTGCATGCTCTACCAATGAGATACATCCCCAGCCCTATTTTAATTTTATGAATAGCAACTTTTGAATTAGAAATGCTTACTATGTGGCAGAATGCATGTAGCCCTGGGTTCAATTACCAGCAACATCAAAGGGGGGAAAGGAGAGAGAGGGGGTGAAAAGGGAGAGAAAGATGTTTGTTTTAAATTGTAATTTTGTTAATTTTGGCTTAAAGATATTTGTATTTTTGCAGGGCTGGGAATTGGACCCAAGGTTTTACATATGCTAGGCAACTGCGGTACTACTTAACTACTCCCTGCACTGCCCCCCACCCTTCCCATCCCCCGCCCTTTTTATTTTGAGACAGGATCTAAATTGCCCAGGCTGGCCTTCATCCTCCTGTCTCAACCTGGAATTAAAGGCATGAAGTGCTGATACTGAGGCAAAAGACAGGTGGTCAGCATAGATAGTAAATGATCCAGTTAGAAAGTGGAGTACTAATTGGCTGATTATAAAAGAAAAGGAAATGGGTAGTTAACATCTGCGGGGAGGGTGGGTGGGGGGGGTGAGAATCACTCCTCCCAACACAAGGAGTTGCTAATGAATACCAATTGGCAGGTGGGAAGGGAGTGGGAACCTGGGGTATAAAACTTGCTTTCTATTTTCTGTGCTTGCCTTGGGGGGGGGGGGGGGGGGGGGGGGGGTGGGGGGGGGGGGCAAAGGACCAGATCCTGATTTCCAAGACTCCTATCACTGCCATGTCCATCGAGCCAAATTATTTTTTTGAAACACCATATTTTCTTAGATTTAATTGCAATATCTGTATAAGGTAGTTTGTGGAAAAAAGTATGAATATAACTTGTGTATCATATTTTATTTAAAAAGAATATATCTTAAAGTTTGTGTGTTGGGGGGGGGGAGAAACAAACACACACACACACAGAGCATTAAAAAAACAAAAACAACCACTGAGCTACATCCCTAGCCCTTATCTTATACTTCAATAATCTAATGCACTAAAGAAGGAAACCAGTTTATATGTCCATGGAAAAATTATTTTGATTTTTTGTAGCTTTCAAATAGATATGAACTATTGATTTAATTTTTTCCTTTTTCCTTGTAATTGACAAATTTCTTAATCATTTGAATGTTATATAATAATTTAATAACAATTCAATAATTATTTTTTCTAATGCTAAGAAGTAATATAAGGAAGCACTTTAAGGAATTGAAGTTTTTTTTTCTTAAATGTACATCTGCAAAGGTAGTAATCAGTGTAACAAACATTTTTGAGCAGTTAGTGTGTGTTAGATACTGTGCTGACCACTTTTCATTCAGTTTCTCATTTTTATATTTATTTTTTAGTTTTAGGTGGACACAATGTCTTTATTTTTTAATTTTATATGGTTTTGAGGATCGAACCCAGTGCCCAGTTCATGCCAGGCAAGTGCGCTATTGCTTGAGCCACATCCCCAGCCCCAGATCTTTATATTTTATAAGGCTTTTTTTTTTTTGAATCACAAAATCACCAAGCTTTCAAATTTCTTGCCCATGTACCATCCATGTCCTAGATCAGATCACAGATACATGTGTCAGCTCTCTGCTTCTAATTGTTATTTCACATCAGCTACCAACCTAAGACAATGTTCTCCCTCTGTCAGATTCCCCAAGTCCAACACTCCCCCCCTACTCAGTTGCTAAAATGTTAAAACATCAAGAATAAAACTAGTTCAGATTTTGTGTTAGCTTTTATTTTGCTTCCAAACTTGTGAAGGCAATGGCTTGCCCCTCTTTATTGCTGCTGGAAAAATAACAAAATGCTTCCTTCCTTGTAATCTTTTTAACTCATTATCATCTCCTTGTTTGCTGTTGCTTATGTGTCAAAATCTTGCGTTTTTTTCTAAGTAGACTAGTTCAAGCAAGTAGATAAAATGTGTGTGCTGCCATGTTTTATTTCTAAATTTCTTAGGAAATTAAGGCTAGAGCTAACATTTTTACTGTCTGAAGTTTATTTTTTATTAAAATGATAATTTTTTTCTTATGATTGATTTTTCCCATTGTTGCACGTTATTTTGAAAACTTGGCTTTGTTGAACAGTCTTATTTTCTTTAATTCATGTGAAGACTTTACTATTTATTCATGTTTCATTAATGCATTTTTGTTTATACATTTAGCCTATTTGATAGAGGATAAAAATTCCTATGCTTTTAAAAAACAGTTCCAAAACCAAGTAGAGAAATTAGTGATTTTTATATATTTCTTTTTGTCTGTTTTAGGATGGCTACCATAGAGTAGTTAATATTGTGCCAAAGAAACCACCACTGCTAGACAGACCTGGTGAAGGAAGCTACAGTAGATATTACAGTCATGTTGATTACCGAGAATATGACGAGGGCCGCAGTTTTTCTCATGATCGAAGAAGTGGTCCACCTCACAGAGGAGTATGTAAATTTCCCCCATGTACTAATTGTTATTTCTTATAAGTTAAAATTCATGTAATAAAAGTTTATGTGACAGCCATGAAAGCAGTTGATTAACACTTCCTGCTGATGCTCTGTTGAATTTTGCTGAAGCTGTCAAATGGGAACTAGTAGTCAAGAATCTTGGGGTGTTGGACAGGGTGGGTAAAAATGCTCTGGATAGCTCTAAATGACATTCATTCCAAGTAGCCTGCTTTTTAATCCCCTTACTTGGCAGGGATTTGTAGAACCATATAAAGATAATCTGTTGCCTGGGTGCTTAAGTGATAAGCAGGTGGTTACCATGTCTTACTGGATGAACCTACTTGAAATTACTTTTATTATTTTCATCATGATGAAATGCTATGGGTGAAGTGGGTTAAGGTTGTTGATAGTCTCATTTTTGTTACAGTTCTTAAAGGCTATTTACTAATTCAAATTAGAAAGCACTTAAAACATTGTTTCATATAGTAAACACTTTAAAATGTTAGCTGCTATTATTACTACCACAATTATAATTTATTTCTCTTGATCTAGAAGTGTGTATTAAGGTTACAATAATTTGTTATTAACTTGATTGAAACTGTTCTTTGATGCAATTCCTCTGTTCTAGCCTGCATACTTAAAGTATTCCTCTTCCAGACTGTTTTCCTACCTTTTATTTTTTCCCCTTCTGTACTGTATATAATATGGTAATTAATTGAAATATTGAAACATTGTTTGTAGTAAAATTTGACCTCATATTGGCCATTGGATTATTTTCCATACTTTACACTTGAAGGAATGGAGGTAAGGCAATTTACAGAGGATAGTTATCTTATGAGAGCACAGTTCTCTATTACATAATACTGATTTTTGACAATTCTAAAGTGGTAACAACACTATTCAGTATTTTCTTGTTTTCCTAAAGTTTGAGGTGTGTTATAGATTCTTTCTTGTCTTAGAATTGGTTTTTATTTTGTTTAGCTTTTAAATGTCATGCCATTCCTTTAGGAAGGGGATGGTATGTGTTGAAAAGTAAATACTATGTATTATCTCTCTTTTAGTAATACTGGAATTTGCCATCAGAGTCATTCTTCAGTTATTCTCATGGAGAAACAGTTTGTCCTGTAGTATAAAAATGTGTTTTCACAAGCTGGGTATGGTATCATTTGCTCTCAGTCTCTATTTGTGAGAATGAGGCAGGAGGATAGCCTGGGCAACATAGCAAGACCCTGTTTCAAAGAAAGAAAAAAGTTATCCCTTTTATCAAAACTTTGTGTGACCATTAAGTGTAGAGGGAGTTTTGTATTTATTGGACTTGTGTTTTAAACCTCAGGAACATGATTTTGCCCAAAAACTTGTAGCATAATGTTGCTTCAATAGTAGTTCTTTTGTTTTATATTCTTATAAATCATATTTGTTGTCATGCTTTATATTACATTTTTTTAATTTAAATTTTATTCAAACAAACAATAAGTACATTTTGATCCTAGGATTCTCCTGATACTAATTCTTATTTGGAGTTGATTTATATAAATTAAATTGCTTACTTGATCCAATATTTTATGATAGCTGTGAAGTTTTGTTTTTATTTAATGTTGAGAAGGAAAATGATAGGTACATTTTACTTATGGAAGAATAAGGAATATAATGTTAAAGAGGAAGATGAAGATATTACATGTTATATTCTATGTTTCACTCTAAAGTAATTGGATATGAATTACTATTTGGCTTCTTTCTATATACCTATGTAGTTATGTCTTAAAGGACAAATATGGTTCATTTGTTTTAATTTAGTGCCACATATTAGTCTAATGTAGTTTTGACAATTTCTTTTTTTTTTTTAAAGAGAGAGTGAGAGAGGGGAGAGAGAGAGAGAGAGAATTTTTAATATTTATTTTTTAGTTCTTGGCGGACACAACATCTTTGTTGGTATGTGGTGCTGAGGATCGAACCCGGGCCGCACGCATGCCAGGCGAGCTCGCTACCACTTGAGCCACATCCCCAGCCCCGACAATTTCTTATTATATTGTTTCTAATTGTAGTTTTTTGATGAGGCATAAGATGAAAAATGAAAATTTGAGCATGAAAAGTTGAAAAAGTAGTAAGCTTAGGCTGGGATATAGTTCAGTGGTAGAGTACTTGCCTAGCATGCATGTGGCCCTGTGTTTGAGCCACCTGCTCACGCCCCCCCCCCCCCAAAAAAAAAGTAGCAAGTTTTTCATTGAGCTTGAATCTGAAAATTGATGAGAAAACTTAGAAAATGAGAAGTGTATGCATCAAAATTTATACCTGGTCCTCAGAAGCCATTGACTATTATCATATGGTATGTGTGTTTTTGACAATAAGCCTATGTGGATCTGTCAAGGAAATAGTGTAATTTTTTTAAAAAGATAAATGGAACCACAGGTTCTTGGTCAGTTTATTTTTAGTTGTTGAAGTGGATAACGTGCTGTATCTTTTTTATTTTTAATTTTCTTTTCTTTTTTATGCCTTTAAAGCTTTAGGAAGATTTAGAAAAGTGTTTTTGTCTTCATAGTGTTTTGGCCTTAGAGGTTAATTTCCGTAATACTGTTAGACATATTGAACATGATCAAAATAATATAACAAGTGTCCAAGTAACTTTTTTTATGTTACAGGATGAATCTGGCTATAGATGGACAAGAGATGATCATTCTGCAAACCGACAGCCTGACTACAGGTAAAAAGATAGAAATAATAACATAAGTACTTTGACTTTTAGATTTGTGCTGTAGAAATCTAATTTTAAGGCACATAGATGAAGTATTTCATTAGGATTTAAAATTTTGAAAGCAACAAGCATTATATTTTTTTTGTGACTAATGTGACCCATAACTAATGTTCTATATCTATTGGCATTTTGTAATTGATAATAAAGATATGATTAGAATATATGAGTTATTAATGTATTCTTGCAAGTTGTTAAATTATTCTTAGAGTGTGGTATGGATTATGAAGTTTCAGTTTGCTTAATTAAAAATTAAGCATTTTTTTTGGAAGTATCCTGAAAATACTTGAATCCTTGCAAAGTGTCTTCTATTTTTTATAATTTTTTTATGGGTACCTATTAATTATAGAGAATAGTGAGTTTCTTTATGGCATATTCATATTGCATAAAACACAATTTGATCAATATTATTCCTTAATACCTCCTGTTACTCTTTTCCTCCTCCCGCCCCGGCCCTCTTTCTCTATCTTAATGTTTCCCTTCTACAAAGTATCACCTATTATTAAGTGTTCTCTCTATTGCTTTATTTTTTATTTAAAAAATTTTTTTAGGTTGTATTTGGACACAATACCTTTATTTTATTTATTTATTTTTATGTGGTGCTGAGGATAGAACCCAGGGCCTTGCACATGCTAGGTGAACACTCTATTGCTGAGCCACAATCCCAGCTCTTCAGTTGCTTTATTTTGATCAATAAAATTCTGATGGGAAAACACATTTTGCTCAGTCATTTTTAGTTTGGGTTACTTATAGAGGGCATCTAATAGAACAGTTGGTGTAATAAAAGTGACGGACAGTTTAGCCAGGTTATAATTTGTTTTCTAAATATTTTACAGTAGTTGTAATGAAAGTTGTAAATGGAGTCCTTTATGAACTCTTGGGGAAAAGAACTCCAGTCTCATAGAGTATGGCAAGGAACCAAATGCCACAACTCTACATATGCCAGAAGTAGACAATAAGATTAAGTGGATGAGATTGTTCACAGGACAGCAGCTGGCAGGAGCAATAGCATGGTAGCACTAATTCCTTGATCTCAAATTCCACCTAGCAATGTGATAGGCAGAGAGAGATTCAGTGACCCAAAGAACCCAGGGTCAAGAGCTCAGTACCTTTAGTAGTAAGTAGAAAGCAAGCCAATCCTCCTTTCTCTAGGAATGAGCAGCCATTTGTTAATCTTCCTCTGGCTACCTTGATCTATTTAACCATTTCTATAACCATCTACAGAAATTGCTTACTATCAGTGAGTAGTTAAGTCTTGCAATAGTATACAGGCAAATTTGTGCAGGGACATTCAGATCTCATGGCAGATTCTCTCCTAAGAGAACCATAAACCATATACCCCAAATTGTAAAACTGTAGAAATGTACACAGTTACAGTCAAATAGAACAGCAAAACACTTAAGAAACAACCTAGGTATATTTAGGAGTTTGGGATTTGGCAACAGTGGCATTCCAAGCAAATGTGAAAGAATGAACTTTTCAATAAATAGTGTTCAGACCAATATTTGAGAAAATGTGATTGAAAGTCTGTCAAAATAATATCTAATGTAATTAAGACCTTTATGTGAAAAGTAGATGATAAAAACAAAACTTTTAAAAATTTGGATTAGCTTATAGTTTATTTTTCTTCCCCAAAGAAATGATTCTTAAATTTATTTTAGTTGTATTTTTAGCTTTCTAAATAGTTTCTCTGTTAATTGTATTATTTTTTTAAATATGTATTTTTTAGTTGTAGGTGGACATAATAGCTTTATTTTTATGAGGATTAAACCTAGTGCCTTGCATGAGCCAGATGAGTGCTCTGCCACTGAGCTACAACCCGAGCCCTGTAATCTAATTTTTTCCCATTTTTAAGTGTTCCTTTGTCTATAGAATTTTTTTATTAATGAAATAAAATCATATATGGATCCTTAGTTGCTATAGCCATCTTAACATCTCAGTATATATTTTTCTGTATTTTCTCTATATTCATAAGTACTTAGAATTTCTGGTTATTAATAAATTTGTGTTAGCTGGGCACAGTAGTACATTCTTGTGTAAGCCCAGTTACTCAGGATGCTGAGGCAGGTGCATTGCAAATCAAGGCCAACCTGGAAGACTTGGGCCCGACCTTTTCTCAAATAAAATTGAAATATGTAAGATGAGTTGTGGCTCAGTGGTAGGGTGCCTGTGGGTTCAATCCCCAGTACCAACAACAAAAAAGATCATGTTAGGGATTATGTTATACATACTTTTCTCTACATTACTTTTGCATTTAGTACTTGTAGAAATCCCTTCAAGGTATTTGATTTAACTTTAATTCTTTTTAGTGATTAAGTAATAGTCCGTAGTGAGACTATGCTAAATAATTTGGCTAGTCACTCTATTTACAGTACAAAATGTTGCTGCAACAAATCCTAATACATGATATCTTTATGAAACAATAGTTTAGTTTTTATGAGATTGATAGCCAAAGCAGAATTTCTAAAGATGTCAGAAGACATCTTTATTATAAATTTTGATAGATGTCATATGAGTTTGCCTTCTAAAAAAGACTGTACCTTCCTCCTACCCCTTTTTTGAAATCTAACATTTAACTTGGGTAATTATTTTTCTTTCTTATTTATTAATATAAGTAGGGCTTTGAAAATTCCCTTTAAGCCAGCTGCTAAGACTGTATCCTATGATTCTGACACATAGTAATTTATTTTGGTTCTGACATGTGTATTCTCCCCATCCCTCTTGAGGTTGATTGAATCCCAGGGCTTCACACAAGTACTTAGAGTTTCTGGTTATTAATAAACACATGCTAGGCAAGTATTTAACTAGTGACCTATATCCCAGCCCTTTTTATTTTATTTTATTATTTTTAATTTTGAAACAGGGTCTCAGTAAGTTGTTGAGGCTGGCCTTGAACTTGCAATCCTCTTGCGTTAGCTTCCCGAATTGCTGGGATTACAGATGCACACCAACACACTCAATTTGTTATTTTACTTTTAAAATCCATTGATTATTAATAGTTCATTAGTGATCAGTTTTCTTAACTATACCAGGGGCATTAAAACCAGGTACAGCCTCTGTCTTCAGGGTATAGCATTCATACTATATGATATGTTTAGTCATTTGTTAAATATTTCTTTGAATATTATATGTCAAATGCTCTTCTATCCCCTGGGAATAAGAAGGTTGTACCTTCACGTTGACTACATCTTAGTAAATTATGGATAGTAAGCAAATAATTAAATAGTTGTTATGAAGAAAAGTAAAGCAAGGGATGGCATAGAGAGTGCTTGACTACCCACACCTTCCTATACTTCCACTGTGTCCAGTTGTCTTCAGTAATGTCTTGGGTTTTGTTTTGTCACAGAAGCTACAGCTATTACTGTCTGACATATATCTGGCTGTTTGTAAGCTATTCTTTCTTAGGTGGACTCATGAAAAATTTCCTACCTAAAAGACATTGTGAATAGGAAACAGCTGTTGTTTTAGGGGAAAAAAAATTGCATTATAAACCCTGCAAAGACAACAGTTGGGTATATTGGTAGTGTTCTCAGCGTTTAGAAAAGCCATAATAATCAGTAGTTTGGTTTTGTGTCAGTGGAGTGTACACAGCAGTTATTTTTATTGTGGGGAGAAAAGATGAGAACAATTTTAAAGTTTACAGAAAAGTTGCAGGAACAATTCAAAGGGCTTCTGTAATTAGTGACTACATGAATGTTTTTAGCAATGCTCCCCATAATCTGTCCTATGGAAAAAAGATCTAATCTGGGTTTGTAGATCACATTTTGTAGACTTCTTCAGTCTGGAACACTCTTTCCTTGACTTTTATGACTTCTTGGTTTTGGTAAGATAAATACTGGGTAGATTTTTAGAAAAATTATTTTTATAGAGTGTTCCTCAGTTAAGTTAGTCTGATGTTTGTTTATGATTAGATCCATGTATGTTTTCATTGGAACAGTCTCTTAAGTGATACTGTGTTCTTTAATTGCTTATTGTTAGGCTATTCATGTTGTTGATTTGTCCTCTTTTTGCTGTTGTTGACTTTTACCACTTGATTAAGATGAAGTCTTTAAAGTTTTTTCACTATGAAGTAACTCTCCCCTCTGAAATTAGTGGAGATACTTTGAAACTGTGTGATTATACCATTCCTCATTCTATTTCCACCTACTAGTTTTAGCAGCCAGCAGTGGGTTTTTTGCCTGAATTAATTATTAACATTGTTATGGATGTGTTTGTGTTCCCCGAAGTTCATATGTTGAAATTCTTACCCCTGTTGTGATGTTATTAGGAGGCCGGGACTTTTAGGAGGTGTTTCAATGGAAGAACCCTCATCGGTAGGATTAGGGCCTTTAATAGGAGACACAAAAACTTGCTCACATTCTCTCTATTCTCCATGATATTGAGGACTCGCAAGAGGAGATGGTCACCTTCAAACCAGGAAGAAAGCCCTCACCAGACACCAGATCTATTGGTGTCTTGATCTTAGATTTTCCAGCCTCCAAAACTGTGAGAAATAGTTTGTTATCAATCCACCTAATGGCTAATTTATATTAGTACCCCAAACCCACTAAGACAAACATGATGGTTTTTGAACTCTCCCCCACTCCCTGCCCCGACCTTGTGGAGGTGGGTGTTGAACCCAGAGTCTCTCTTATGCTAGGCCAGTACTGTTTCACTGAGCTACAGCCCCAGTTTTTAATGTGATTGTTTTGAATGGGTGATTGTGAAATAACTCTGTTCTTTATTAGACTGATATTCTGCTATAAGGAGAATGCCATCTCTGTATCCCACTCCCTTAAACAAATAAAACTTTTTTTATATCAGCATGAACTCTTAGATTCCTATTTTATTCAGTGCTTTATAATTTTCTACTGTTATTATTTTTATGCTCAGATTTCACCTGGGAAAGTTTTTCAGGTTAGCTTCTGTGTTTTTTTTTAAATACATAAAATATGCCTTTTTAAACATTAAGT